AATGATCAATCTCAATCAAAATCACAGTATAATTTACATGTAATTATTTAAAGTGAATATATCTTTCATGTGATAATTGAACTCTATATATGCGAAATGAAAGTCACATGGTTTCATGCTATAGATCTTTTATTATCTTACACAAGTAGCAGCATGTTGATGATCATTCATCATTTCAAGTGTTTGTCAACACTACGGAGAATCAATCATACATTGTTAATTACATTCCTATCATCAGGACTTTCATAAACCGACAATACTTTTATTACGTCGCATATTAATTCAATTTAATCTCATTAATATATATATTCATATTATATCACTCTGCCAATTTCCGTGTACTAATGTTATAAATTGCATACATTGTTTCTCTTTATTGTATTTTTCAATTGATCTATTATCCTATGACATCTATACGTTTCGTAAAAAAAATTTCTACAATACATAATGCATAGCGTATCCAAATAAGTTTTATCTATTCAAGATTGTGCGGTTTTTTCATTTCTTCATGAGACAAATAACAACTCCTAAGTATATTTTTTTTTCGACTCTGTGAAATCCATAAAACATTCTTGTCTTCTTGAACAGTGTTTGCACGTCTGCATGTAAATTTTTTTTGCTATACTCACACATCTACTTTTCACCACTGTTGATCAGTAAGCAATAGAGTCTAATTCCCTGAACTTTAACTTACGAGAAAGAGTTACTAACTGATCAATTGTCTTTGAGTTGAGAGTATGCGTAGTATGTTGATATAAATAAGTTATGAAAATTGTAACACAAAGATTCGGGCTGCTAGCTCATTGTTAGAGAGATACTGAACTTTTACGATAAGTATCATAAGGAGCATAAAAAAAAACTGATTTTTAAATTTCTACCTGAAATTTTATACATAAACAGATCTTACTGAGCATAGGATTTTGTGAAAGTTTCAGATTATGTGGCATATTCGAACGAAGTTATCATAATTGCAACGATAGATAAAAGCATCAAAAAGGTCTATGCTTAGTAAGATCTGTTTCTTTATAAAATTTCAGGTAGAAGTTTAAAAATCACTTTTTATGATGTTTCTCATGACATTCATTTTAAAAGTACAATATTTCCATAATAATGGTCTAGCGGCCTGAACTATTTCGTGACGTTCCTAGCTCATGTATACCAACATAGAATGCACATTGTTTCAACTAAAAAGCGATTGATCAGTTCGTTCTCTTTTCTCATCAGTCCTACTGAGAACATTTGAATATGTTTTAAATTATTGAATAATTTATTTACATAAACAAAAAAAAAACAATGAGACAAACATTCTAAAGACTTTCTTCTTTTGATCATTCATGTTGATGGAATAAGTAAAGATGTCGTAGTATTATATTTTGATCGAAGCTCTTTGAAAACATCAACTAATTTTTGTGCAAATCTATTTTCCATATGATGATGACATCGTAAATGATTTTTTAAATGATCAAGTCGAACTAATTTATGTGAACATAGAATATTTTTTGTATATTTTTGACGATATTCTGATAAGTCAAGTGGTCCGTTTATGAAAGGACATGGAACTTCCCAAAGATAATCAATTATACTTTCATTTTCATTAAATAATTTTGTTGTTCTTGGATCAAGATTATCAGCAACAGCTTCTGTCAAACTTTGAGTACAAACTTCTTTTAATTTATGTTTTCTAATGAAATGATTATAAAGTAAGACTCGACAATCTTTTTTCATATTCACAAAATTCAATTGAATGATTTGATTTAGTAAGACCATACGCTCCATCAAATGTTAATGGACATTCATCCACAATTGCTCTGTATGATTCTCGTTTACTTTTCTTTTTTTCTTCATTTACCTACTTGTCCTAAAAAGAAAATATAATGATCGCTTAAATATCTTACAAAATTTATATCATAGAAAATCAAATCAATTAACACGTATACTGAAGACATTAAACCAAGTTTATAAAAAGTATTTTAAAATGTTAAAAACATAATGATATTATGAAGGATGAACTCTAATAATCATGGATATTGAATTTATATAGTATTTCACTGAAAATGAATTGTTTTTGAACTTAAAATATAGAACTTAACTAATGTCCATTTCAAAAAAGAAG